TTCAAAAAAAAAAAAAAAAAAAAAAAAAAACCACTTTACACAAGTATGGACCGTTTATAACGTTCGAATTTAACTGTCTCGGTATTGTACAAATATTTCGACGTGTAATACCGTGCTAAAAATTTATCCTTTCCTATGTATACCGTATAAATGTTTTCCCTATGAATCTGAAGTTCCTACAATTCGATTTTATATCCTATTTTCGAGCGCTGACACAGAGGCAGAAGGTTAATCATCACAAGGCAATAACACGGTACTTGACTTAATGAAAGACGCGTTTCACGAATTCAAGCTTTATCGACCATTAGATCGTCAATCTGTTTCCACTGAACTACGCTACTGACGATGATAATGTCGCTGTCGTAAAAACGTTTGCAAACGTTGAACGAACGGCTGACGACGATTCATCGGACTGCACTGTATAAAAACCGTAAAAGGATAATCAAACGATTACTATCTTACGTACTTCACCTACTCTGGATATATACGTTTCACGTATATGTACTTATACGTTATACGAATGTAAACGTGTCCTATACTGTTTGCCAGAAGCAGGGCTGCTCTTCTCAATAGAAAATACAGCATTTCGTCCCACCCCCTCTGAAATGAAAGAAAAGTGAATCGACGTGGGCAACGAATGTGACCTTTTTGCGCCACAATTGGACAATTTATATTATTTTCTTAAGCAATTTTTTTTTCTCTCTCTCTTATTGGTGTTTTGATTTACACACGCAATTTACGATCGCAGAGTCGATCCACAACGAGTTAACGCTGGACAATCGGCAAAAATGGATCAATGGTAACGACACTGTTGCTATCAACCGGGACGATTCAGTGGAGCTGAACGACCCCGTGGAAATCGCGAGCAGCAAAACAACGATAAAAATAAACGCGTTAGCACGAGCCCTGCCACGCGAATCCTACCCTTTCCACGAAAATAGTGCGTCTGCCCAAGTATTGAACGCACCTTTCCCTCCCCCGGGCAGAGAAGAACGACAAGAATCAAAGAGAGAATGGCACGGATGGGATGGAGTATTGAAAAGTTGCCCTCGAAACGAATATTTTTCTTTTGAGCAGAAAAAAAAAAAAAAAAAAAAAAAAGAAAAGAAAAATTGTCTCGTACGTACGTATTTTGAAATTTCGAAGGAATATTGTTCCAATTTAAAGAACGTCGTGCGAACTTGCCTTTGGACAAGTTGACGTTCAGGTAGGTAGAAGTTTTAAACTCATGAATCTGCAAAATTTAACTTTTCGTCGTTAAAAATATCGACTTGATAGGGAAAGTTTCAACTCTGTTTTTTCTG